AAGTAAGTACAAAAGATACAGCAAATGAATCTGGAAGCTGTCTTACTGAAAAAGATGATAATAATAATAATAATCAGAGGATAAATTGAACTAAAGTGCATAAATTTACCTAAATAGGACCAGATGACAAAAATAGCCACACATTTTTCTGAACTTCACATAAAAGATCAAAATATTTATCTGACCTTAAACATGCAGGCTTGGCCTTTATTCGCTGCCGTCCTGACTCTTAAATAAGGTCCAGATTAAAGTCCATCTTTAACCCAGGATCTCAGGAACTGTCCTTGGGACATTTTCTAGTGGGTATACGGAAATTTGCGTTCTTTTCTAGTGGGTAAACTATACCTGTGTATCATGGAGACTACACCACTGCTTTATGTTGTTTTTTCTGTTAACGGCTCAATATTAAGGATAATTGTGAATATTATTCCAAGTTCCAAACAAAAAAATGTTTAAGATGAGGCGTTTGATGTTTAACTGCTGACAGGATTGAGACGTTCACGTACACTCGGAAAAGACTTAATTCATATCAATCAGTTAATGCGACCCACTCACAGCACAGGTACCTGTGCTTGATCTCATTCTTCAGAACTGCCAGCCTCGGCGAGGGGAGAAGGTAGTCATTCATTCGTGTTGCATTCAAGTTCCCCTCGTCCAAGCTCATCATTCTTCTACCCTACGTTTCATTACGTCTACAGTGAAAGACATCCACGTATTAAGTTCATCAAGTCTAAGAGGCAACATATGAAAGAATCACTCCATATTTTTCAGCAGCAACACACTGTAGGTCGAAGTAACACCGAATCAGTAGAACTTCTTCTCTCATGTAAACAAAAGCATATGGCGTACATTAATGCATCATGTCATTATGTACATTTTCTCATTCTGATAACATGATGCACAAAGAACAACAAACTGACATCAGAAGCGCCCAGACTAGACAGAGTTAATCATTAACATGTCTTTCAGCATGGAAATTGTCTTCGTTTGGCCAGAAAGGGGCAGAAGGACAACCCCGAAGAGGAACATTCAGTTATTACTGCTCCAGTATATATATATATATATTTTACATTTTAGTTCAATGCTGAACATATCAAAATAATCAAACAATCTTCAATATATACAGCCTATATATAAAAGAGCTGAAGGAAGGGGAGGGGTGAAGGAAGTCAGTGACAGATTTGGCCCTAGTGCTCCGTCGTAGTCTTTCATTGCATCAAAATCAGAAAAACACTTGCTGAAATATCCATGAATTTCACTCAATTTACCAGATTGTGATATTGTTTTAAATGTTTCTAGTATCAGGAGCAGGGTCGTAATGTTTTCCGATTGTTTGTTTTGCCGATTCATTCAGTTTACAGCACAACAGCTCCTTTCTTCCTCCATTTACTCCGCTAGTATACAAATAAGAAACGTCCCGCTTTCTGTTCCCTGGCTGCTTGTGCATACCTGCGATGACGTTGCACAATAACCCGTCCATATTGTTCATAAAGACGACGAGTGGCGCCAAAACGGCAGACCGGTAAAGAAGGGACGCACACAAAGAGAGAAGAGAGAAAAGACGACGGAAAAGAGACAGAAAACTCAAGTAAGTGAAATAAATACACAAAAAAATACTTAAAGGTCAATTTTTGTGTCATATAGTCTATTTTTATTATTTTTAATATTAGTTTACTGGTATAATTCGGATGTTAGGAAGACCAGAGGTTCAGTACGGACACACAAAGAAAGAAGAGAGAGGACGACGGAAAGAGACAGAAAACTCAAGTAAGTGAAACAAATACTTAGAGGTCATTTATTTTGTGTCATATAGTCTATTTTTATTTGTTTGAAATTTATTTACTGGTATAATTTAGTTGTTAGGGAGAGCAGGTATCATCCTATCGGTAACGGGTTTAGCTAGCAAGAAAGGGACATAGAGCTCACACAGTGCCAGTCAAAGATTCGCACAACTTCCCATTCAAATAATATATATATATATATATATATAGCCGGGTGGGGAAGAGAGCGCGATATTGGCATTTCATGAATGACAAACAAGTGCTGCGTGTAGACTCCAACAACGGTTTTTATGGTAGCCGGGTGGAGAAGCAGGGCGATTAGAGGCATTTCATGAATTTAAAAAAAGTGCTACGTGTAGACTCCAACAACGTTTTTTACGGTAGCGCGACTAGTGATCGCCAATGAATATTGATGCACATGTGCTAATTATGACTGACCACCCACGTAATAGTATTTTCTTACCCTACAAGACTGGAAAATCACACTATTTCGGGACTCCTTACTGCTTAACAGACTGTCGAACTCCACAGCCAGAATAATGTCAATGTTTTGTGTGCATACTTGTTTAATGTCGTCACCCTTCTGTATGTTTTGATCAGTGTACCACCAATAAAAATGTTGGAAAACACTCTTGAATTTCAATGCATTTAAATCTTTGTTGTACACCTTTTCATCTAATTATTGTAACTTGAATCATCACAAATAAATGTTCACAAACAGACATGTTAAATGAATATCTGTGCATGCAAGTATAGCAAACACACAAGTTCAGCCAATGGTGTGTAAATAAACACAGCAATCAGTTTGTATTCAACAAGCATTTTACTACATAATGTATTAAACAAGCTGGGAAAGTGGTAGAAGTTGGCAAGCTTCCTTAGCGTGGTCACCACTCCGGTCTTCACTCACGGCATCCTGAACCAACCGGTCCTGTGACAAAAGGAAGGACAATTTGTAGCACAATGCATAAAGTATACAATACATAAAGCATCAACATATTTTTATACCAATTAAGATAGATTCCACTCTGTTTAACAGTCTATCTTTTTAATAAAAGTAATATCTCTGGCAAGAAAAAAATATGCTGAGATATTGGATATTGACATACCACCTGTAATTAATGCAGTGCTGTTGGCCAGATACATTGTGGGGAAGGTAAAACAGACGGTAAGTGCTTCAATAACATTACCTCAGGTATCATTCTTTCCAAAAATATCAAATAATTTGGTTCTGCTACTTAAGAGCTTCTTATTAATGCATTGCAGTTGATGCAGGTTCATTAAGATCAATCCTCGCTTAGCATTATGCCAACAAGTAACATGGGAAATCCCATGGAGAAACGGCAAAGCTAGCGGAGTTAGCGCCACTCTTTTTACACAATAGTAAGAGCAAAATATGAACACCAACAGTCTGCATGAATTCAGTTATTGTTAGAGAGATGCAGGAATTTTACAAAACTAGCAGAACAACATGGGAGCCAGGGACAATTCATGACAGTCATGCAGTGGTGCTGAAATGGCGATGAGCTAAACTAGAGCTCACATGCAGTTCATTTGCATTAATTTAAATTTATCCATTCGTCTCAGATTTACACTATGAGTCAGCGTGACATTGCGAGTAAAACGCATAACACTAACTAATCAGCGAACATATATATGAGAAAAAATGTAGAAAATATATACTTACTGAAAGCGTATATTTACTCGGTGAGTTGGCCTCGGGTATGCTGAAAACGCATACTCTGAGCTGGAACTATTCCATGTATGGAATGATTGAGCTCCCCATAAGGCACGTGACTTCCGCAATCCTTAGTTTCTAGAGAAGTCAATGGAAGTTTCGCGACTCTCAGGCAGGTAGGAACCATAGACGTAATATACTTAGACGCCTCAAAGCCTGACGCTGCCTACTGGAGCTCACGTATTGGCGCGGCAGCCATCTTGAATGGGTTCCCCATTGTGCCCGATTTTCACACTGTTTGGTTTGTGACAACAGCAGGGATGAAGCCATAATACAGGACAATGTCACACACTAAAAATACACCAAATTATTATTATAAATTACTAATCCTATTTGTAATAGGACGACGGGGTTTTCAACCACAGAGTGCGAAAATAGGGGCGTAGTTGCTCGTTCTCCACTGACCCCGAATGGCTCTTGAGTGAGCCTGGAGTAGAGAGACCCACCCAATATGGCGGTGACGGGGGATTACACTCAAGCACGTAATGATGCGTCTACGTATGTAATATCTGAGGGTATGAACGTAGATGTAGCAATCAAGGCAACCCTGGGTGTGAAACTCACACATTCCTCACAGGAAAGTTTCCTTATCTGGTCCCAGGACACAGGATATAAATCTTTCCAGACATGTTTGTACTTTCAGGTTACCTAAATGACCCAACCGGAGGTTGACTAAACCTCTGACTCTTCACGATTGGTCGATTCAGAGAACAGAGACAGAGTTTTTATTACCTTTCAAACTGACTCCATTGCTGACCATCTAAATCAACATTAACGTCTCAACCCAGATCTCCCATTTGAGATTTACCTTCTTAAAGTGTGTGAACATACGGACCCCAGGATAAGGGGGGACACTGACCTCCAGACCTCGGTCGTAAAACCCTGCTCGACCATGCACTGATAAAGACTGCATTCCTTTGGTGAAAGAATACAAATGACTGATCCTGACATCTTATGCATTCAGCAATGTACTAATCTGTCTAATCATGAAATTTGTGTTAAAATGAGATGTTTCCCATTTTTCTATGTGCTCCAGAAGCCGAGTTAGACCAACAGCTTTTCAGACTGTTTCATGAACTGTTAAGAGTTAAATTTATCGACTATGAATCATAACTTAACTCTAGGTAACAGAAACAGTTTAGAAATGTTTGGTTTATATTGTAGATGGGGGGGCAAATAGACAAACAAAATGCTCAAAAATACTCAACATGTTCAATCTTTTTTCTTACAGAATGGCCTTAAGAAAACTCCTGAATGAACGGCCTGGCTCTCCCTACTGCAAGTTGCCTCCTCTACAAATTTGTTTTTTAAAAGTTATTGACGCTCCCAGGGTTGTGTCCTGGGACTTTAAAGAGTCCACAGCCAGCCCCACATGCATAAAGCACAACAAAACAGCGGTTATTACTGATGGGGAGTCAGTTACAAAGATCACACTGTATGAGGCAACAGCTGGGAAGGTCTCAGAGGGTGAGTCCTATTTTATGAAGGGACACACCCTCATGGGACAATTAATGTTGGAAGCGGGACGCAGTTCTAGGGGCAGCAAGATTAACTGCCCCGCTGAGCTGAAGGCAAGAGCGGAGGCCCTGCTGCACCCGGCCTCACCCCTGGTGGAGCTCCATCAGTGCTGGGCGCAGCAGGGCCTGATGACAATCGAGGGAGTGGTTGTTGAGGTCAGTATGAACTTCTGTGTATCTGGGCAATTAAAAACATGACAAATCACAAGAAAAAAATGCATTTTCAAATATATGAATTACTAAAAACTGAATTTTCTCCTGTTTAGCTGTCAGCTGTGAGAAGAGTGGTGTCGGGCAAAGAGGCTGTGCCCTTGAGAAAGATTCTCCTGAAGCAGGTAACTGCAGCAGCAAAAATTGTTGGTACCTTCCTGTTTGATAAAGAAAAAGTCATAGAAGTCACTGAAATAACCTGAAAATGACAAAAGTAAAAATAAAAATGTCTGTGTATGTTTATCTGCTTAATCATACATGTACAATGTATGAACCATGATGAAATAATACTTGAATTAATGCAGATGTGTCATTTAGCCTGTTTCTCACTTTACACAAGTGAGTCTGTCACTTTGAATTCATGTGATTAGTTTACACACTAAATAGATCAAACAATTATGCAGATTTATAGCAAATTCATACATGCATTGATAGGACTTAATCAGCTTGGTATTGAATTTCCCCTTAGGGATAAAGAGAGTTCTTCCTATCTTATCTTTCTCAGACAAAACTGTTAATGTTAGCACCATGCATCTGCTCAGCCCCTCTGATTTAAATGAGACAAGAGCCCGTGGTATTTCTAGTGTTACATGTATTGGTGTCTACAGACAATAAGGTGTTCCTTTATGTTTTACAGGACAAAGAAACAATGAAAGCCTCCCTGTGGAGACCAGTGGCAGTGGAGACCCTGGTCATTGGGGAGACGGTGAGAATCACCCATGTGAAATCCGTGAAGACGGAGTATGGAGTGCAAGTTAACACGACCAGTTTCACAAAAGTTGAGGTAATTTGTTGTCTTTGTTTAAATGTAAACACACTTGCTGAAAACTATAGCCCCCATTTTGTCCTTTACAATTGGTAGTTCACAGAATCACAACAACGTAACTAGGTTTGAAAAGAGTTTAATTAATCAACAATTGATATAAAGATGGACAAAATTGTTGGCACCCTTATGTCAAAGAATGATAAACACACATAAATTCGCACAAAATAGTGTTTGCCTTTTTGTGATTTCTTTTATTTTTGCATATTTTTCACACATCTAAGTGTATCTAATAATCAAACAAATTTCTATGTAAGTCAAAGATAGCTTAAGTAAATAATTAAACAGTTTTTAAAAGTGTCAAAGCCAGTATGTTGTAGCAATCAAGACAACCCTGGGTGTGAATCTCACACATTCCTCACAGGAAAGTTTCCTTATCTGGTCCCAGGACACATGATATAAATCTTTCCAGACATGTTTACACTTTCAGGTTGCCTAAGTGACCCAACCGGAGGTTGACTTAACCTCTGACTCTTCATGATTGGTCAATTCGGAGAACAGAGACAGAGTTTTTATTACCTTTCAAACTGACTCCATTTGCTGACCATCTAAATAAACATTAACATCTCAACCCAGATCTCCCATTTGAGATTTACCTTCTTAAAGTGTGTGAACATACGGACCCCAGGATAAGGGGGGACACTGACCTCCAGACCTCGGTCGTAAAACCCTGCTCGACCATGCACTGATAAAGACTACATTCCTTTGGTGAAAGAATACAAATGACTGATCCTGACATCTTATGCATTCAGCAATGTACTAATCTGTCTAATCATGAAATTTGTGTTAAAATGAGATGTTTCCCATTTTTCTATGTGCTCCAGAAGCCGAGTTAGACCAACAGCTTTTCAGACTGTTTCATGAACTGTTAAGAGTTAAATTTATCGACTATGAATCATAACTTAACTCTAGGTAACAGAAACAGTTTAGAAATGTTTGGTTTATATTGTAGATGTTTATTTAGTATTTTTAACCATTAGGTGGTTATAATGTCATTGAATAATCTGAATGTGAGTATTTAGAATCCATTATTAATCATGATGAAGTTCATTCACATGTATTTACTCTTTTGTTGTTCACAGTTTCCATGTGTTACTATCTGTTTCATTTCAGAGTAATTTAGCATGTTCAATATGATACTTAAAACGTAATGAGAATGTTTGATGTGATCCTACACTTCATTCATATGTGTTTAGTGTCAAATTATTTATCATGAAACCAAGTATTCAATGATATTAATCATAGTGAGTGAGTATCAGATCTGACTCTTTTACCAGCCAAAAGTATAAGTTAGATCAAATAATCAGAGATCCGAGTTCATCTCTGCTTGGAGACCACACAACCCCTCCTCCTCTTTCTCCTCACACCCACATGCCGGAGACACACCCAGTGTGAGAAGATAAAACCAGTGAAGTGGGGTTGCTCACTCTCTTGTCCATCTCTTATGCTTCTGCTCTTGTTCACTCTTATTGCTTCTGTTCTTGTACCCGGCTCTTATGCCCCTTCTCTTCTGCCCACACCCTTCTGTGGTGCGTTTCTTTGTTTTCTCTTAGAACTTTTTCTTAGTCTTCTAAGTTTTACGCCACGTGTTGATTCACGTTGATTTTTCTTTAACATCGTCTTAGTACAAGTTTTGAAACTTCAACTTTTTGTGCACATAGCAATCCAAGATTAAGCCTTTGATTGACTTTTCTTTAATTTCGCGAAGCCATTTTTGAAAGTTTTCTCTGCTCGAGTCTCGTTTTTCTGAGTTATCTGCGTGAGTTCAAAGTCACCTCTGAACGCAACCCAGCAGGCCCAGGTCATCCTCTGTGCCAGAGTTTTTGAGTGAGACCAAAGAAGTACCCAAACGAGCATCCACAGGATCCACAGGCGCTGGCTTTGCTTCGGGCCCGAGTGCTGCAACTCCTGGCTCATCCTTCGGCTGACTTCAGTCGTCTTCTGAGCTGAACCGCTCGAACCGCCAGTAGCCCCGGACCTTCGGAACCTGCTCCATCTTCTCCAAGGACCAGTCTCACTTAAGTATGCAAACCTCCAGAGCTCCAAAGAGGGCTGGTGCTGTCTCCTGCGTTCATAACTCAGATATCCACTTATTCTGGTAATCTTAGATTCCTCCAGATCCACATCCGAGTTTATCTCGACACCAAAGTTAGTGTAGGTTAATATGTTAGCGCATATTCACTCACTATCATTAACTTTAGTGCTCCTAGCCTGACTAAGAATCTTTATTTATTCACCTATTATTATTTTATCCTCATTATCTTATCATCATTTATTGCATGTATGTTGTACCATCATTTATCCTGTAATAAACAGATCATTATTTTCCTAAGTCCCTGTGTGTTAGTGTTCTTCCAGAAGTGGAGTCCCTGAAATTAGAATTTCGACTTAAGATATGAGACTAATTAATTAAAACTGACTTGATGTTTGATTTCTGAATTAAATTTTTGTTTTCTTTATTTTCCCACCATTAAGGGTGGGTGGTGCCCCTTTCAACGAGTGCATAAATGTCATAATTTGAGATTATTAATCTTCAGACATTTATTATAAATTCCAATCGCTACAGTATTAGTTTGGTGCGGCCTTGTGAGGCTCATTTCAAATCGCTACATATATTTTGGTGCGACCGTGTGAGGCTCATTTCAACCGCTACGTATATTTTGCTGCCCCTGCGTGAGGCGTTTCAAACAAAACTTCTGGATACTAACAGACAACCTAAAACTTAGCCTTCCAAATTGATGAGAGAAACTTATCTCCAGGCTATTTTAGACTTAATCACAATCAATGCTATGCTTGCTGAAGTTACTTGACTAAGTTCTGATGTTTTCCTGATCTATGCATAAAACCTTTATGCTCTGTGTTTCACACACTTTGGTACTACATGCCTGTAGTCTGTGTTTGAGCTGGACAGCGTGAAATGTTGGTCTGAGTAGCAGTGAGACTGCTTCTTCTGCTCGGTCTAGACTGTCCAATATTTAAGTGCACGATTGTTGCGTCGCCGTACGCTTGTATTTAAGGCCTTTGGCTGAACCCAGTGTTCGCGATGCTCCGAGCTGTGGTTTCAAGCCCCTGAAGTCTCTGTAGTCTGCTACGAGGTTCTAGTAACTATATGGGATTCAGATTTCCTCCTTTCCCCTGACAGATTAGCTACCTGTCACAGGAAACCACTGTAACAGTGGGAGGTTGTTGTTTGAATGAATTCAGACAAAATTCGTGATCACAAATCGCCGCATTTGTGATTTTAAAGTCCGCAGTTGAATCTGCTGTTTAAGGATTTGTCACTTCGATTCTTGTTCCTGTAAATGATTCTATTGAACCAATCTGCCTGAGCAGATGGTGTAAAGTTCTATGCTTGAGGGTGCAGACGCATCCTGCTGTGAAATGTTAACCCTTTGTTGTCAGTGGAGAGACTGACCATTTGGCCTTAAGCAGATAAGGCCCTTCGAGGAGGCAGAGCCTAAAGGCCCCTTCCTTCATACTTCCCAACTTCACACAGCCACAAGAGGCTAGTTGGATGACTGTTTCCTCTTTTCTTCTTCTTCTCCACTTGTGTTGAGCTTGTGCAGTTATCCCAACTCCATACTGCCCCACATGGTTGCTTTTGGTATTGAGCTAACACTGCTATTATCTGCCTGCAGTATCAGCCAACTGTACTGCCTCCCTGTAGTCAGTGTGTAACACTCTACAGACATAATTCAAGTGATTGACTTGGTTGATAAAGTTTGATGTGCTTATTCTAAATCATTGATCATTGATTTTTGATTTTTATCTTTGTTATAAGAGCCTACATAATGCATTGATGAAGTAACTCCTTGAATCAATCACCTGATCTTGTTGTTACTTATCACACCATTGAGCAGTTTTACTGTTCCCTATAATACATGAATGTATTAACCCTCCTCATAAGATTAATTAATTAATGAACAAATTAATTAATATTTGAAATTTCTTTTAACATCCCAGATATATTTGGTAGTTGAACCTTTGGATTAATTGCAATTTGTGAATTAATTTCAGAGTTAATTCCTTAAATTGACAATTTCATCGATTTTTCCCAATTCATCCAACTGCAGCAGGCAGTTTATTTAAGCTTTGCTGATCTCTGCAACACGGAGACAAACCGAACCCTTTATTCAATGGTTCTGTATCTGATGTTAAATTTAATTTAACATTATTTCTCCTTGTTTCATTTCAATTTTCATTGAAATGAATTTAACTTAATGTTATTTTTCTCTCCATTAGATATCTACTCAGATAGGCTCTTCCTCTTTATCAAGCACTGATAAATTAAGTCGATTAACCCACTTAATTTGATATCTTGCTTCTTCCTTTCATTTTAAGTCAACTCAAACTCATCAACCAACCACCTGCACCTCTTTACCAAAACCAAACATGCCTAACACAAAAGAGTCCAGCCAGGGAGACCCCCTGAGGGACATACACACAGTGTTAGCAAACTTAACTAGTCAGCTGATACCTCAGTACATGACTAAGATTCAAAAGGCCAAACCCTCCAATCCGGAGGATGCAATGGCTGACTTACTGGAAACAGCCTTAACCACGACACTTCTTGACAAAGAGCTCACTAGATGCATGTCTGTCGTGATGTCTTCTCAGCTTGAGTATAAAGACTACTTGCTGGAATGCGTTTTAGCAAAGATAAAGGCGCAAAAAGACGAAAACAGCGCTCTGAAAAAGACGCTAGAGGAGACTAAGGAGTCTCTAAGTGTTTTAGAAAAACACAGTGCCAGATGTGAAGCGTCAAAGCTTCCCTCACTGATAAGTCATGAAGAAAATCTTGATCTCAAAGACAAGATTGAAAGACTTAATGAAACCCTTTACAAAAAGGAGAAAGAACTTGATGACACGAATAAGCAGCTTGCTAAGACCACAGAGGATCTGATACAGTCAGAATCCGTACTAGAGCAAGCAACAGAAGATGTAAAAACTTTGAAAGCACTGGTCAAAGTGTGTGCTGAAGCTCTTGAAGTTAAGGAGAAGCAAACTTCTACCTTACAGCACCAGATCCAGATAGCTCAAAGACAGTTAATTCTTTGTCAAGAACGGCAAGAAAAGACAGAAAAAGAACTTGAAGATGCCCAAAGAAAGTAACAATGCTCCCTCCAGTCAGGTCGAGCCCAAAGAGAACGCATGGAGCAAACGTTTCTTGAAGAAATGATAGGTGATCAGCCTCCTGAGAGAGCGCCATCACTTCCTTCCAAACCAACTCTTAAGTATCTCTCTCAGCATCATGACAGGACCCTGCTTGACCCTGAGAGGTCATCCTTAAACCAAGAGTCCTACTCTCCTCCTCATGATGGCTTCTTACCATTTCCCTCAGACAGGGATCTTGACAAAATTGCTCGCAACATAGCACGCTTTGAACCTGAGCACCAAGCCGCTACTGACACCTGCACCTACTTGAAAGACATTGATTTTTACCTGAGGAAATTTCCAGGTGCAACCATTGATGACAAAATCTACCTTATTAAGGCGACGTCAAGTCGAGAGGTTAGCAGTTTCCTTGAACGACAGCCTTATCATGTCAGAAACAATTATGACTTGCTCTGCCAAGCATTAATCGAAGAGTTTTCTGATCATTTGACCCAGACAGGCCTCTCTGCTGCTCTGTCTATTAAACAAGGGAGATCAGAATCTCCCCGACAGTATTACAACCGCTTACGCAAAGCTTACTTTGGTTTCCGAAATGAACCAGAAATGGAGGAGGACTTGAACTTCAAAACGCTGTTCGTCCAGAACCTCCACCCTACCACCAGTCATCACCTTGGCGTCTTAGCTTGTCCAAACACTTCGACTAGCCGACAGCTTCGTGAACTTGCTGTAAAAGGTTTTGCCAAACAACGACAAACTTTGGCTAAGAAAGCAGAGTCCGTTACTCACTTGGCTATGGAGACAAAATCACTGCCCATGGAGCTGAACGAAGCTTCAGACTGTGTATTTTCAGGCTCCGATAAGCCTCCAAATGAGTGGTTAACCAGGCCTCCAAAACCTTTTCGACCTCAACAAACTCACAAGGGTCAAAGTTACACACCAAGGCCCAGGTCTGACACAGACCAATGCCAGGTAAACTTTGAGACCAACTGTTGCGATCCAGACTCCCGTCACGGTGGGTTGTGTGCCAGACAAAGGAAAAACCATCAACACCGCCAAAGGGGGGTGAATGACTGGCAGGATCAGAGTAAATCACACTCTCAGAAACGACGATCTTATTATCCACCTCAATCGGTTTCATCCACTTTGAAGGTGAATAAACATGACTACTCAGCTAACCACTGAGATTAACACTGTGGAGTCATGAAGGTGTGAGTCCTGCGAAAGCAGAAGTCACCCAGCCAAAGCTAAATGACTCCAATAAGATATCCAAATGCTGTGGTGATACATTGATGACTGCAATCCCAGTTGCTGCTTTCTTTGTTAGCATTTGTCTCTCCTCTGTCAATATAGTCAGCTTGTCAGCTGTCAAATATCCCATGAACAGATTAAAACCTGAAATTTCTGTCATTAAGACTCAGATTGACAAATTTCAGACTTAATAGCAGATAATTAGTCAAACCGATAAGAGCATCATCCCCAAGTTTAACAGACAAAGTTTAAGAGAAACTCTGTGCAGTAAACTTTTGATGTTTGTGATTCAGGTTGACTATGCTCATACACAGATGGTTAATATGTCTTTAGCAGACATTTCTTTTCCACCTAAGTCTTAACCATTTTTGAAACTGAAATTGAACTTTCAGACTTCTCCAGCAAGCATGAAAAACAGCTATAGCTTTAGATCCAGTTAGCATTCAGACTAAAGAGTGCTTTTCTAAGTCTCATTAATATTGAAAATTAGGAGATTTTCTTTCACATTAGTCTACCAATAGTTAACTGAGAAGAGTCTAACAACTAGACGATTTTATTTGATAGCTTAATGCATGTTTAATTTTATCTCCAAGCAGTACTAGTGATTCACATAGTGATGATAAGACGCATCAGTCCTATTTGCATACACCTGCTGCTGCTGCTGCTGCTTCATGGTTGTCTACTCGTCGTCCCGATGCTCCATGGACAGGACCACCGTGACGAAGGGGGGACTGTAGCAATCAAGACAACCCTGGGTGTGAATCTCACACATTCCTCACAGGAAAGTTTCCTTATCTGGTCCCAGGACACAGGATATAAATCTTTCCAGACATGTTTACACTTTCAGGTAGCCTAAGTGACCCAACCGGAGGTTGACTAAACCTCTGACTCTTCATGATTGGTCAATTCGGAGAACAGAGACAGAGTTTTTATTACCTTTCAAACTGACTCCATTTGCTGACCATCTAAATAAACATTAACATCTCAACCCAGATCTCCCATTTGAGATTTACCTTCTTAAAGTGTGTGAACATACGGACCCCAGGATAAGGGGGGACACTGACCTCCAGACCTCGGTCGTAAAACCCTGCTCGACCATGCACTGATAAAGACTACATTCCTTTGGTGAAAGAATACAAATGACTGATCCTGACATCTTATGCATTCAGCAATGTACTAATCTGTCTAATCATGAAATTTGTGTTAAAATGAGATGTTTCCCATTTTTCTATGTGCTCCAGAAGCCGAGTTAGACCAACAGCTTTTCAGACTGTTTCATGAACTGTTAAGAGTTAAATTTATCGACTATGAATCATAACTTAACTCTAGGTAACAGAAACAGTTTAGAAATGTTTGGTTTATATTGTAGATGTTTATGAATCATAGGTGGTTATAATGTCATTGAATAATCTGAATGTGAGTAATTAGAATCCATTATTAATCATGATGAAGTTCATTCACATGTATTTTTACTCTTTTGTTGTTCACAGTTTCCATGTGTTACTATCTGTTTCATTTCACAGTTATTTAGCATGTTCAATGTGATACTTAAAACATAATGAGAATGTTTGATGTGATCCTACACTTCATTCATATGTGTTTAGTGTCAAATTATTTATCATGAAACCAAGTATTCAATGATATTAATCATAGTGAGTGAGTATCAGATCTGACTCTTTTACCAGCCAAAAGTATAAGTTAGATCAAATAATCAGAGATCCGAGTTCATCTCTGCTTGGAGACCACACAACCCCTCCTCCTCTTTCTCCTCACACCCACACGCCGGAGACACACCCAGTGTGAGAAGATAAAACCAGTGAAGTGGGGTTGCTCACTCTCTTGTCCATCTCTTATGCTTCTGCTCTTGTTCACTCTTATTGCTTCTGCTCTTGTACCCGGCTCTTATGCCCCTTCTCTTCTGCCCACACCCTTCTGTGGTGCGTTTCTTTGTTTTCTCTTAGAACTTTTTCTTAGTCTTCTAAGTTTTATGCCACGTGTTGATTCACGTTGATTTTTCTTTAACATTGTCTTAGTTCAAGTTTTGAAACTTCAACTTTTTGTGCGCATAGCAATTCAAGATTAAGCCTTTGATTGATTTTTCTTTAATTTCGCGAAGCCATTTTTGAAAGTTTTCTCTGCTCGAGTCTCGTTTTTCTGAGTTATCTGCGTGAGTTCAAAGTCACCTCTGAACGCAACCCAGCAGGCCCAGGTCATCCTCTGTGCCAGAGTTTTTGAGTGAGACCATAGAAGTACCCAAACGAGCATCCACAGGATCCACAGGCGCTGGCTTTGCTTCGGGCCCGAGTGCTGCAACTCCTGGCTCATCCTTCGGCTGACTTCAGTCGTCTTCTGAGCTGAACCGCTCGAACCGCCAGTAGCCCCGGACCTTCGGAACCTGCTCCATCTTCTCCAAGGACCAGTCTCACTTAAGTATGCAAACTTCCAGAGCTCCAAAGAGGGCTGGTGCTGTCTCCTGCGTTCATAACTCAGATATCCACTTATTCTGGTAATCTTAGATTCCTCCAGATCCACATCCGAGTTTATCTACACCTACACTAACCAAAGTTAGTGTAGGTTAATATGTTAGCGCATATTCACTCACTATCATTAACTTTAGTGCTCCTAGCCTGACTAAGAATCTTTATTTATTCACCTATTATTATTTTATCCTCATTATCTTATCATCATTTATTGCATGTATGTTGTACCATCATTTATCCTGTAATAAACAGATCATTATTTTCCTAAGTTCCTGTCTGTTAGTGTTCTTCCAGAAGTGGAGTCCCTGAAATTAGAATTTCGACTTAAGATATGAGACTGAGTAATTAACACTGACTTGATGTTTGATTTCTGAATTAAATTTTTGTTTTCTTTATTTTCCCACCATTAAGGGTGGGTGGTGCCCCTTTCAACGAGTGCATAAATGTCATAATTTGAGATTATTAATCTTCAGACATTTATTATAAATTCCAATCGCTACAGTATTATTTTGGTGCGGCCTTGTGAGGCTCATTTCAAATCGCTACATATATTTTGGTGCGACCGTGTGAGGCTCATTTCAACCGCTACAATGTTGAGTAAATACAGGAACTATGTTAGTCTCAGTCTTGGTATGTTTGTTTTGTGAACAAATGTGAATCAACATGGTCTTTTCTGTTTGTTTTGTGGTTTTTAAAAATGAAATAAATAAATAAATAATAAATAAATGAAAAAAAAAATGAGATAATGAACTGTAAAAAGCATGTTGGCCTGCAGCTCTTGTTTATTCTTTATAATGTGTTTAGTTGATTAATATCTTATGAAAGAGGGACAGACTCTATAAGATTTTTCTTCTCTCTGCTCCTTTTCATTCACGTTTATGATTTTTCCTTGTTTGTATTGAATGTTTTAAATATTAACTGAATGAAATAAAATATGAAGTGATAAATATAAAATACATATTTTAAATAAGGATTTTATCTGAGGGGAAAAGAAATTTATCTATACCTACCTGACCCTATGTGAAAAAGTAATTGATCCCCCTTGCTAAATCATCAACTAACTGTGATAAAACTCATTTTATTCAAAGGATTCGAAAGAGTTTTATTTGTCATTCCAGTCTACAAGAGAAAAGAATGAAACTAGAACTGAGGACCCGGTATCAGCCATAAGACTGAATATGTAAAAACTAATCAAAAACAGTACACACTAGGGTACAGAGCAGACGACTTATTGAAGTGCAAACAGGCTTTTGTGCAAGACAGAATACAGTAAGGTGCAACTGAATGGAGGTAAGTTGACATTGTTCCACATGTGGTGTCCGAGGGTGTGGAGCTTCTGCGCCGGGGTGTGTGGGATGATGGTAATGAAGGCAGAAGGGAAGTCAATGAAGAGCAGGCGTACTGATGAGGATTTACATACCCAGACCTGATTACTGCCAGAACTGATGAATCAAGTCAGGTTCTGACCAAACTGGAGGAGGGTAAAAGAAGCACGTTGTGGTCTAAAAAAAAATTAAGGAGCAAATGAGAAACAAAATCATTGACATCTATCAGTTTGCCAAGAGTTAAGGAGGGTTAAAACTGCATTTATATTTACTCTAGTCATCTTAGACTAACAATATAACAATGTTGATGATCAGTCACAACTAAGTGAGAAAAATATGCTAAAATATAAGAAATAAGGAAGAGGACAAATACTTTTTTACATGTTATTCTTAAGAGTTTTTAGCTGTGTGTTTGGAGGACCAAGAATGACTAAGGAAAAAATACTGGAGTATTCTGAAGTGGTCTCCTGAGTTTTGATCTGAATCCTATTGGAAGGAGCTGAAACATGCAGTCTCATGACGACAAACCTGAAAGCACTGGAATATTTTGCTCTCCAGGAGTGGGCCAGTATACCCGTGGCCAGGTGTACAGGTCTCTCTGAGAGTTACAGAAAATGATTGCAGTAAATGCCACAAAAGGTTTTGCAACATAGAATAAAGTTAAAGGTTCCATCAATTTTGTCAACTTTCTCTAGTACCAAGATGGGCAGGGCCTCAGGACAATAATAATCACAATATTAATTAATATTGGGCCATTGTTACAGAGAAAAAAACACAATCCAAATACTCTGATTCCTGACTTGTGTTTGCTTAATTTGTCAACAGAAACTGCAGACCACTCAAGAGATCACCATCCTTGGTGTCCTCAGAGACAAAGGGGCCACATGCAGCACCAGCTCTCCTGATCTGTGCCATGAGGTCTTGCTGGACAACGGGGAGACACTCCAAATACAGGAGACTCTTTGGGAGCCCTCATTTGAGGAAGCTGTCAAGGAGGGCCCACTTAAAGTGAAAGTGTCTGTGCATAGCAAAATGATCACAGCCATCAAAGCTTTGTAAATATGTTCATTCATTCCTGTTGTAAATAGTTCCTACACACACACACACACAATAATTTGTTATGAATGTTCTCATTTTTTTTATTTTCAATATGTTCAGAAATTGTTAAAACTTTGATCTGTCTCACATGCAATCCCCCGTCTCTCTCTCTCTCTCTCTCACACACACACACACACACACGCACACACAATTTATTGTTATGTGTTTGTTAAAAATAATAAAGTGGTTTGCTAAGGAAATGTATTTATTTGAGAATCTTTTTTATCTCTACATACTCTTTTACATTATAATTACGCAACACTGTATTTCATTTGATAACAGCTCGCAGATTTAAACTGGTCAGCTTCAGTGCAGGCGGAGCGCAGCTGGTCTAGAGGTATTTTGGTAGACCAGCGGCGTATTATGCATACGTCACCGATGCCTCACTGGCAGGTTTCCACAGTTTCAGGCACATTTCAGTGCAATAAATAATCATCAACAACTATTACTCTGAGTCAGCACATACATTTAGATCTATATCGATATATTCTGATCTATATCTGATCTGATGAGCGTATTTGGCACGCGTTTGGACACACAACCTAACCAAATTAACACAGCTGAAACGTCAATAAATTAAATTAAATATCTAGTAAATAGAGAGATATTAGAGATATTTAATTTGTCTCCCTCTTCCGCTTATTTCTCGCGCAGCTCGACCTGGACATGTCTCCGTGTCCTCTCTCTGTCTTGCTGCTGTGGCGGCTGAACAGATGATTTATTTTAGTGATCAGATGAGTTTTTACTTTAAGCCTACATACAAATATTATAAAATTCAGTTTTGTGAGCCAAATTTATTTCATATGCCAACATCTATGAAAGAAAGAGCCAGGCCACGGAGCCCGATGCATCATTTACGCACAGATGGTTCCGATTTTAATGCCATTATTGGAGTTAATGTTGTGATCTGTGCCCACAACCCGATTTTGTCACGTGAGGTTTAAATATGTGAAACTTGATGTGAGTGTCTTTATTTGTGGAAAAGGGTGTTTGTCTTACCAGTGGGTCCAACCTTACACACACCAAATTCATCTGTGCTCATATGAGAGAGTGTGGAGGACGCCCAATGCAGTGCTTACAGCGACACTTGTTGAGGAGCTGCCTTCTGTCACCGTCATGTGGCATTGCTGTGTTCAGACATCTCTTGATCTCTTTGACTACTTCAGGAAAATTGTAATACACCTCGCCGGTGACGGATTTAAAGGCGAGGAGAGGAGCTGATGTCATTGGTCAATACAGATCTCCACTGTGTTAAACCCGCTTTCCGCCCACTCTCCACCCTCCCTAAGACTTTACGCCGCTGGGAGGAGTTGAGTTAGGGAGGGGGGATACTTACGCTTACGCTTGTTTATATCCGTATATATCTGCGTATATAAATGATTTCTGCCGACTATGCAGAGTCAACTGCAGAATTAACGGCTTTCTGAATGAACAGTGCTTTGAAAAGTCTTGCAGCATGTGTTAGACGTCACCACTACACATGGACCAATCAGGGGCTGCCTTTCCCTGTTGTCCGGGTAAAAGTGGAAACACGGTCTCTGATTGTTATTTTCTGATCGGGAATACACGCTCTCTATGGGCCGAAGTCCAGACTGTTGTGGGAAGGAACATAAGTAATTCACGCAACAGGATGGCCCGGCCAGGCTAGGTGACAGAAGGCAGCCCCTCAACGAGTGTTGCTGTAAGCGTTGCAGAGGGCGTCCTTCACACTGTCTCATGTGAGCACAGATGGATTTGGTGTGTGTAAGGTTGGACCCAATGGTGAGACAAACACCCTTTTCCACAAAGAAAAACAATCACATAAAGTTGCATCTATTTAAACCTCACGTGACAAAGGTGGGTTGAGCGCACAGATTACAATATAAATTCCAATAATGGCATTAAAATCGGAACCATCTGTGCGTAAAGGACGCCTCGCGCTCCATGGCCTGGCTCTTTCTTTCATTGATGTTAGCATATAAAATAAATTTGGCTCACAAAACTGAATATTATAATATTCGTATGTAGGCCTGACTCTGGATTGAATATTTACAGAATCTTAACGATAGAAAATCAGAAAATCAGATATACATGTAATTTTGAGTGAAAGGTTATTTTATTTTATTTTAATTTTTGTTCAAATTTTTGAAGTAAATAACTCATCTGATCACTAAAATAAATCATCTGGTCAGCCGTGCCACCGTTGCAGCAGCAGGACGGAGAAAGGACACAGAGACATGTCAGGTGTTATGCCGTAGAATGCACCCCTGCCGTAGAATGGACCCCCTGACGGGAGCGCGGTTGAAAGTACACAACAATTCGAAATAATAAAGTTTTCCTTATCGTTGGACTGATTCTAAAGTGTGTGCCTTTAATGATTTCATTCAGGCTATTCAGATAAGCCGAAAACAACAGCCCTCTGATTCGGAATATTTGCTGCCCAGAAATATTATGTTTTCTACCTTGACAGCTTACTGTAGAGTTTATATACCCAAGTACACCTCTGTATGTGCCTTTTTTAAATACCTAAAAACAGGACGGAAGTTTGCTGCTCCATTTGACATGTTGTCATGATCCAATACTCGTGTTTTTTTTTAAAATATGAGATAATTTTTTTCCACTTTCAGAAGCTAACGAGTGGATGGGATGCAGGGGATGCATTCTACAGCACAACACCTATCGAGCTGCGCGAGGAAGAAGGAGGACAAGCGGGAGACGAATTAAATATCTTGTTAACTTCATCATGTGTGACTGTTCACTAGATATTTAAATTAATGCGGTTTCAGCTGTGTTAATTCAGTCAGGAGGAGTGTCCAAACGCGTGCCAAACACGCTCATCAGATAAGGTATAGATCAGAATATATCATATAGATCTAAATGTATGTGCTGATTCAGATATTTGCACTGAAAAGTGGTTGTTGATGATTATTAATTGCACTGTAATGTGTCGGTGACGTATGCGTATTACGCCGCCAGTCTACCTCTAGATACCTCTAGACCAGCTGCGCTCCACCTGCACTGAAAGCTGACCAGGTTTAAATTGGCGAGCTTTCAGCTTACTTTTCATGCCACGAGCAAGCACGAAAATGTCACTGTGCCAGCTGATTCTGTCAACACCTCCCACTACCGTGCATCCACGCCCAGCTTGGCGGACCTCGGCGCGCCTCAGTCGACTAAAACACTAAACTGGCTGCGTGCCGGGCTCCACCAGACGAAAATACCACTGCGTGGGGTCCACCACTGTCCGCCGCGTCGCCAACCAATGAGAGCACAGTAGGCTAGTAGCCTTGTATCAGTGGCTATAAGGTTTGGTAAAACTGGCACAGCGACTCACATGTTCACGTACAAACACACTTTCAGTAGTAGTAAAGGCTTACTCACCACTTTTTGAAGGGCATACGACGAGCCTTCCGCTCCACGAACTTGTGCAGTTTTGGCAGACCTGAATGGCTGCAAACAACAATTTTGGGTTCAATGTCGGGTTCATCTCCAGATGCAACGCCCCTGGTTGCATGATCTGTGCTCCTCCGAGTCGGCAGGGGGAGGGACCCGAGAACCCCAGGTCCCTTCATTCTTCTTTGACTTCAGCTCTCCTACAATTTCTACATTCATACAACTTTTTCTCCTTTAACATCAGCTATTCCAAAAATTCTACATTCATACACCTTATACTTCTTTTTCTCTTTTACCCCTTCAGTAGTTTGAACATTTATACTTTTCTCAATTTTTTTTCTAACTGTTTTGCATGGCTTTTTCAGCACTCAGCATTTCCACGCATTTTCTGCAAGGAAATGCAATTTTTCTAGTTAAGTGGAAATGCTGATTAAGCATTTCCACTTATTGTTATTCTGTTCTTTATTAAGTGGAAATGCTGATTAAGCATTTCCACTTATTGTTATTCTCCTGTTTCTTTAATCTTATTATTATTCTTCCGCCGTTTTTTGTCACGCTTCTCCTCCTTCAAACTTTGTCCGATTTCAACCATTCAAACTTTAAACTATTCCACTCCTTCAGGACATGTGTGCTTGTATTTTTTTCCTTTCTACCTTTTATACTTTTTGTTTTTTTTAACTTTTTGTGCAAAAATTTTAACATTGAAGTCAATGGGGAAATCTTCCACTTCTTCCTTTTATTCTTCCACCTTCTAGACCTTATAACTTCAGCATACTTTCACCTAGAGACCTCATTTTTGCTTTAAAATGTTCATTCACTTGTCGACTATTAAAGTTGTACTCAGTTTTTTGATATCTTGTACAGTTTTTCCACAATTTAGCTTTAAGCAACTTGTGGTTTTCAGCAAATTTTCAGGCTTTATAATGGGTGTGTATTGGAGAGTTTAGAGTGATGATGTCATCAGCTAGAGTGCAGACCTCGTCTCTGATCGACAGAACCTCGCTCGAATATATCGCTCCCACGCCCACAAATCTCACTCCACTGACACATAATAAATACATCAAAATGGAGGTATATGTGTCCTGCTTCTCACAAAAGAGGTTTCAAATCATGAAATCGTACCCCTTGGCCAGCAGGTGACCAACTGTCCAAATAGGCGGAAATCTCTCCCCATTAGACCTAATGTATTTCTTCTCCAAGAAAATCCTTATCCCCACTCAGGCTCAGACTTTTTTAACTCGCTGTTGTGGCCACATTTTTCGGAGTACAGACATGAAAAAGACATCATTGTGTTCATGAAGGCCGGAGGATTCGTACGATGTTCTTATTTTCATTCTGGGACTTAAGGAAATCACGCTATGTGAAGAAGTTCAGAGGCTATAAATCCTCAGCAGTTCAGCACCTCTCAGTCAAACAGTAGGTCAGTGATTTGCCTTTGATCTCACAGCTGTTTAGGATGCAATCATTAACGAGACACACACACACACACACACACACACACATTCTTGTACTTGTTGCATTGTCAGGTCTACCTTGCAGTTCACCTGCTTGTACACACAGGTAATATGTGTCTGCTTCACCACCTATCTCCACCCACAAACTTTGAGCTACAGAAACCATTCTGGGCTTCAAAAATTTAGCTCATTGAAGATATTATGGGGTGTTTTGAGGATTGTGATAATAAATTGTATTAATGTGTTCAGCAGAGTCTTGTGTTCTCACAAGCTCCTTATCATGAATATATACAGACGATGAGCGTCAGGGCCTACTTGGAGTCCTGTTTCCTTAGCTTTAAGCCTTCTTTCTCCTGCTATAGTTATGCATCCAAGGTCCCCATGGCAACCAACTTGTGCACCTGGAGACACGCAGCTGACTGGAAAGCTGCTTCTAATGGCCATATGAGACACATGAAGCCAGGCTCAGTACACATAGCACTGGGGATGACACTTAAAACCCTTTCCTAGAGTGCTTGAAAAAACTTCAGCCCCTATCTCCTCACATGACCTTTGACCTACAGAAACCATTCAGGGCTTTAAAATTTAAGCTCATTGAGGACATTATGGGGTGTATTTAGGATTTATATTCATTTAAATTTTTTACATTTTAAAGTCACTAAGTGATGATTTATCATTTATTTTTTCAAACTAATTTAAACTCATTCAAACTGATTCAAACCTTTCTAATACTTAAAAACTTTCTGATTCTTGAGGATTTTTAATTATTTAAATTTTCCCTGTTTTAAATAAGTTTTAATATTTATGCATTACTCCATCCTTCAAACAGTAGGTCAGTTAATGCCTTTGATCTTACAGCTGATTAGGATGCAATCATTAATGAGACACACACACACTCAGTCAGCCTCCTTCTCTCTATGAGACCTTCAAGTACACACAGAAAATATGTGCATGCGTGAGTCTCTCTCTCTGTCTATGCGACCTGAACACACTTTGACCATGTGTCTGCTTCACCACCTATCTTCTCTCACAAACTTTGAGATACACACACATTTTGGGCTTCAAAAATTCTGCTCATTGAGGACATTATGGAGTCTACAGAGGATTTCTATTCATTTAAATTGTCCTTAATTTAAAATCATTCTCATTATTTATGCATTATTCTTCTAACAAATTGAAACTCATTCTTATTCAAACCTCTCTGATTCATCAAACCTTTCTAATACTTTAGGATTTTTTATTAGTTATATTTTCCCCACTTTAAATCATTTTTACTATTCATGCATATTTCTATTCTTCAAACAAAATTCCACTTCTACAACTACTACTTACATCACTTCTACTTCAACTAGTCTTGCTACTATTAGTACTAGAAAACAATTAAAATGAATTGATTGAACCACTGCCTTTCCGTGGTGTGAAGTCTGACATTTCCGAGTGTCCCTGAACGCCTCAAACATTTCTACCGTGACTTACGGGTGGCTCGCGCTATCCTCCTCCGACCTCGACGAAGGTGAGTCAGAGCACAGTCTCTCTAACTTCTGAACACTTCAAACGGTGATTTAACGTTTCAAAAGACACTGGTTTGAGTTATAATCAATGAAGAGTTCATTCATGATTGAAGTGGTCGAGATAATGAGCTGAAAAAGCATACGCTAACGCTGTTAGCGTCGAGTTAGCGCCGCTAGCGTCGAGCTAGCGCCGCTAGCGTCGAGCTAACGTTAAAGCTAACATACCTTCAGCTGTGAGGCTGAATCATTGGCCAGCTGAGCACAAAATAAAGTGAATATGTAAGCCGCTGTGGTACTATAAAGCATGCCAAATGATGTACAGGCTGTGGAGTTTATTGACAATGGGACTGACAAGAATACTTATATTGTCAAGTATTAACTGACTAACTAGCTAACTAATGACGCTAGCGCTATTGCTACAGGTTCAGTTCATTACTGTGACTGAGTCATTGCTGGGGAACTGGTCTGGAGACGTCAGCTGTTTAGCTCCTGGTCACTTTTTATCAGCCATTGTAGATGTATTAAAATATAGGCTGCATTTAGCAAGCATCCAGGTATAGCACAAATGTGAGTGGTTTTCCTTTTTTTGTGTGTCAGAATGGAACTAGATGGTCCTCTATTATTGAAGGTTTTATTCATGATGGGGATGAATTTTTATGTTTTTACATTGCAAAACATAAAATGAATTCAGTATTTAATGTTTAACAATATGAAGTTCCAATTAATAAATATATTCCAGTTGAATTTCCCTTCTTATCTTAATATGGAGTTGATGGATGGAGAGTCAGCTGCCTTGAAATTGGTGAACCTGCTCCTGGTCTGTCTCTGTCTTGCTCGCTGCTGCTGAACTTCACCTTCTGCTGTACCTAATTTACTTTTGATAACAAGCTGTTAATTTGGATATTGGTGATGTGCTAACACCACAGCAAAGATACTTTATCTGAGGTGTATATACTTTAATACAGTATGTATTATGTGTGACATTTTCAGCTGCAGCTAACAGCCAGGTGATCTGTTGGAGCTGTTTAGTTTTCAATTAGCCCAACTACTGTAATAATGTTAGTTTTCTTTATAGGCCTATTGTTTTTAATGTACTATCTGTCAGACAACACTAATGTATTGTTTCTTGTCTCAAACAAACAGAAGATACATCCTCACCAGTGCATTTGTTGGTAAGTATAAGTGTTTTGACCAAGACTGACAACAAACAAAATAAAAATAACTGGATTAATGATTAGCTTAATCCTGTTAAACAACATGTCATTCAAGATAATCTACAACATATGATGCATTTTTCAAGTACTGAGTTTAAATTGATACGAAATGTTGATCTATCTGTAACACTGTTGTATATCCTATATGAAAATCATAGATGGGATACAGTTTTTTCCTAGAAGACAATAGTGTGCTAACAATATTACTACACTACTGAACTAATTTATTTAAAAAATGCTGGCGAAAGTCTGAATCTTGATTGTGACAATAATTAAGTGAGAAAATCATTCAGATAAATTTTGAATGAAGTGGTTTTTTTAGTGTATTAAAAATCTCTTTCCCTCCCTCTCCCCCCTCCTCCTGCCTCAACTTGTCCTCTGACCTGGGCGAAAATCCCTATCAACTCTGAAGTGTAAGTTCACGCTTAAAGCCAGGTCCATAAATATTGGGACATCAGCATAATACTCATCTCTCTGGCTGTAAACACCACCACAGTTGACTTTAAATGAAACAAACAAGATGTGCTTTGACTGCAGACATTCAGCTTTAATTTATGGTTATTTACATCCACATTAGGTGAAAGGTGTAGGAATTAAAACAGTTTGTATATGTGCCTCTCACTTTTTAAGGGACCAAAAGTATTGGGACAAACCAAAAATCATACATCAAACTTTCACTTTTCAATATATGGTTGCAAATCCTTTGCTGTCTAAGACAGATAGATACACCAGACGCTGGGTTTCACCCCTAGTGTTGCTCTGCCAGGCCTCGACTGCAACTGTCTTCAGTTCCTGCTTGTTCTTGGTGCATTTTCTCTTTAGTTTTATCTTCAGCAAGTGAAATGCACGCTCAAACGGATTCAGGTCAGGTGATTGACTTGGCCATTTCCTAACATTCCACTTCTTTGCCCTACACCGTGCACCTGATTTGGATGTAAATACCCTTAAATTAAAGCTGAATGTCAGCAGTCAAAGCACACCATGTTTGTTTCAGTTCAAATCCATTGTGGTGGTGTTTACAGCCAGAGAGATGAGAATTGTGTTGACGTCCCAATATTTATGGACCTGATGGTATATATATACTTATTGGGCAATCACTTAAATGTTACATTTTTGCTCTGCAGTTTATAATTATATTTCACTGTTTTGTATTTCACCTCAATAATTTGCATAAGAAAGTAAAAAGTGAAGAGGTCCTTCATTGTGTTTGTGCATTTTCTCTCCATTATAACAAACATTTTTTACAGGCCAAGGGAGCTGCAGTAACATCCTTTTACTAATCAAGTGCCACAAATTGTAGACTTTGATAAGAAATGAGAAAACTAATGATCCACAGTGAAAAGTTGTGATTGCAGTAAACTATAAGATGCTGATTTTTTTGCAACTAAATTTATTTACTTTTTGTCCCTGTCTTTTCTCTCCTGAACTCGATGCTATCTCTACTGCTGGCCCTATTCAGTGTTGGCGACTCAGCTGTAAGTTCACAAATAAAGTAATTTAAAAATGTTTACACTGTTACTTTTTTAAACATATCATGTAAAAACCTGACATTATGTTCTTATTTGACAAACTGCAACACATTTTCATTGTAACACAAACCATTTTAAATAACACTTAATTAATTTTGCCGGCTGACTACAGTTGAAACTGCAATGCAGTGAGATACAATTAAACTAAAAATCTCTTGTCTCTATTTTTCCATTTTCCTTTTTGCCAACTTTGTCCTGTCTCCAAGTGCAGACCGCTTTGTGGCGACTCGACGTAAGTTCACACAGGAATTACATTTCATGAGTAATACAGTGTGCCATTATTCAACACATTATGGACCCCTCATCATGTCCTAACTTAACAATTTGTTTCCTTTGATTATGTAATACTCACAGTTGGAAATGAACAGCTTGAATGTAATATGCAGTACACTTATTTGCATTTCATTTCCAATCCCTGGAAAGCAATTTATTACTATTAGATTGTGGAGTTGGAATTTTTTAACGATGAAAATCCAAATAATTACTAATTGAATGTGATTCCCTCCTTTGTGCATCGCTCATATTAAAAAAAACAAGCAAATTTAATGTTCCTTAATATGGAATAGACAATCATTATTTATGCAGCCATTGATTTATTTTATTATTCATTTAATCCTATGTTTAGATATGTGTATATCCTTCTAAGGTACCTTGCATGCTTCTGTTTACAGCTCATGGAGGTGCTTGGCCTCATTACTACTTTTTACATTGTTGGAATACTTAAAACACAGTAAAGGAAATTACCTTCTCCAAAATACATAATATTTTATCAGCAGAGTAATCCATTGTTACTTTTGCTTAGCAGGACATGGTTATGAACATTATAAAGGGAACTTAAAGTACTTAAAGAGTCTAAAATACACAGGGATAATAGAACTTTTTGTAAAATACTTTGAGGTCCTAAATTTAAAAAGGTGGCTCTGTGGTTGGATTCAAGTTTGACTCACTGGAGGATGTGGTGGAGAGATGTACTGTGAGGAAGGTGGAGGCTATTCTAGAGAACATGGCTCACCCACTTCACAACACCTTGGTGGACCGAAAGGCCTATGGTGGTGGACGGCTCCTCTCTCTTCGCTGCAGGAAAAAAAGATTCAAAAGATCTTTTGTACCCACAGCCATGAGACTCTACAATTTAAATAGTAGATGACTTTTTCAGACGTGACAAATGAGACTATAGACAATTGAATTTCCCTTAGGGGATAAATAAAGTTCTTCGTATCTTAAATTAATTTTTGATTAACTATAATGAACACTTTGGATTTTTAGTCCTTATTAATTTGTTTGAAGGGTTATCGAACAAGACAATGGTCACTTCCAGCTTTTGACTCAACTTGACTTTTGATAGATGTATAGTTGAGGACAGCCACTTGATGGGTTGAGTAAAAGTACATTATGATGCCATTAGCTTTGGGTGGATGTTGGTTTATTTTATTTTATTTCTTTAATAAAAAGGGATTAATGTTTGTTTCCATTGTGTCTTACAGGTATCCTGTCCAGTCTCCCCACTCTCCCCTATCATTTTGATCGCTCTGTCTTTCCTGTCTCCTCTACCACTCTGTCTGATTGAAAAGCACTCTGTCTTGTGTCCCCCTTTCTTCTATCCCTCTGGCTAAGTTTTGGACGCTCTGTCTTTCCTGTCTCCTCTACCACTCTGTCTGATTGAAAAGCAACTCTGTCTTTCTATCCCCCTTCTATCCCACTCTGACTCATTGCAGAACTTTGCAGAACTTTGCAGAACTTTTCAGAACTTTGCAGAACATTTCAGAACTTTGCAGAACTTTGCAGAACTTTTCAGAACTTTGCAGAACTTTGCAGAACTTTGCAGAACATTTGAGAACCTATTTTGAGAACCTATTTTGAGAACCTATTTTGAGAAACCTTTTGAAACAAGCAACCTTTCTTTGAGTCAAAACTTTTGAAACGGAAGTACATTTAATACAACCGCTATTTTGAAAAATCCCTAATTTTGCACAAGTCTGATTGTTGTTCTAGGTCCTCCTCTCCTGTCTGTGAATCCAGAGTTTCGCCAGAAGACGTGTCGTCAGCTACACCACATCTGCATACCTGACTTTGAAAGAACATAAAAACACGTTTTATATAGAATATTTGAGTTGCATAGTATTTCAAACACAAAGTTCTAAGATTAAAAAATTGTTGATTTGTGTTTTTTCTTCAAACATTTACATAGTCTTGCCTAGGATTTCGTTAGAAAACATTTGATAAACTATTGTTGGTATACACACAGTTATAAATTAGATTTTTTGGAGACTATAAGAGCTGTAAATAACATCCTCTTGAAGAAATAAAGCATTTTTGTCTATACTGGTGCTTATCAGTAACTTTTAATTGTTGCATAAACACATTGTTGTGAACGAATAGTTACAATGCCAAGGAAGAGTAAGAAGTCACAGGTTGCAAGCCAGCGCTGGCAGAGGTTTCATGACATTGACCGTGTGAGTACTGGACAAGCAGATGGTATTCCTCAGAGCAGTGGAGAGGTAAAGAGGTCTGAAGTGTCTGATGCTGTGAAACAGGGAGGTGAAAATGCATCATGTCAACCACAGGTATCTTATGCAGACGTGCTTAAGAGGAGACGTGTAAGTGAGTCACCTGCAGCAGGTCCTTCTAACTCTCATCAGGTGAACTACATCGCCCAAACTGAAAAGCCATGCTCAACCCAGGTATCACATGCAGACACTGTTAAGAAGGGAAACCACAGTAATTATCAGTCTGTATCAGGCTCTTCTCGGGTAAGAAATGTTAACGCTGTTAATCAGTCAGGAGAACAAAACGTCTGTGCGTCACGCAGCCAAGCATCTCTGAAATATGGCCAATCCAGAAACCAGCAGTGCACCTGTAACTCACTGACATTTCTAGCATTCCTGTATGAGAGTGAACACATCACCAGAGCAGATCTGGACCGTGTTTTGGATAAAGGTAATGTGATGTATACAGAAGTCAGAAAAACTGTTCGTGATCACGTCTATCTGACAACCGATGAGCTCCCTCACGAGGTTCCTGCACGCAGACACATGCAGACTGTTGACATGTTACAGCTGTCTAGATACGGTACGTTTGGAGATCCGGATCCCGGAGCTGTTGATACCTTTCTGGACCTCGTTTCAGGACTGAGCTGCTTATTAACAGATGTGCAGTATGCTTTGCTGCTAATGACTTCACTGTGCATTGCAGTTTTCAGAACCAGAGATGGCAGGTACGGTTTCTTTGACCCACATGATAGGACTGCTAACGGTTTGCCTCTGCTTAAGGCCACACCTACTCCTGGTACCGCTGTCATGGTAACATTCACACGGCTCAGTGACATGATTGCCAGGCTCATCAGGTATCACCACATATTGGGCACAGCAGCGTCCTGTCGCTATGAGCTCAAGCCAGTTGTGTTCTGTGATGTGAACCCAAGTGATGCCATCCCAGCCACAGAAAGTCCATCCACAAGTCCCTCTGTCACAACCACTGTGATAAATGATGACACAAGTGCCCGACAGCTGAACACTGATGTCCATGAAAACACTGAACGTGACATGGAAACTGAACCAGAACCACTGATCGACTTCAGCCAGTGTTCTGTCACATTAACTGGTCCTGAATCTTCTGCTCCAGAGATTAACACTACTGTAAGTAATGACACATCACAGAATGTTTCAATTTTGATGGAAATACAAGCTCATCAACCAGGTCAGATCAGCATGAATTCTGTCACAGAGGAAACTCAAGAGGCACAATCAAATTTGACACAACCATTTATAACTATCCCTGTTGCCAGTGACAATGTTATCCATGACATCGCCACTAAACTGTCAAAATTAAGCAAAGAGCGAAAACTGAAATTTAAGAGGAGACTAATGAGATCTGAAAAGACATCACAAGAGAAAAAAGATAAAAACAGTAAAGAGAGAGAAAAGTATGCTAAGAATGAAACATACAAAGCAAAGAAAAAGTCTTATTCAAGTAAAAACTATTCTGTCAATCCTGAAATACAGACAAAGAAAAGAAAAAAGATCACAACTAAATACAGAGAAAGCACAGACTTCAGACTAAAGCAAAAAGACTATATCACTAAGAAATACAGAGAAAATGTTGAATTCAAAGGCAGACAAAAAGAATATATCACTAAAAATTACAGAGAAAATGTCGAATTTAAAGGCAGACAGAAAGAATATTTCAGGAAAAAATATTCAGTGGACATTAATTTCCGACAGAGAAAGCGATCCTATGATAATCATCGATATGCAAATGATGAAATATTCCGTAACCGACACAGACAGTTGATGAGACAAATGATGCGAGACAGGTACAAGACAAATATTGCATACAGGACTATGCATAAAATGAGGTGTGCATTGAAAATATCAAAGAAATACAAACGGATAAGTAAACAAACATGTGAGACTGACAGAGAGAGTGAAAACCCACTTATTGAAAGTGCCATAAATGATTTCCGATCACACATTAAAGCTGGTCCCACCCATGTTTGCACAGTTTGTCACAAAGCCTCATTTCCAAACCAGGTGCAAAAGTGCAAGAGGTCCAATTACGTGAAAAATCCAGTCATGGTTTCAGCTTGTCTCAAAGGTCACTACGTCCATGATTGTAACGATGACTGCAGAAATAAGTGCACTGTTCCTGATGAGAGAAAGACTGAGTGGATTTGTCACACCTGCCATGACCATCTGAAAAATGGAGCCATGCCCAAACTTGCCATAGCAAATAACTTGGAGCTTGCTGACATACCACCTGAGCTGTGTGACCTCAACATACTGGAGAGACATCTGATAGCAAAGTGCATAACATTTGCCAAAATCATTCCTCTTCCCAAAGGCAGACAGAGAGCTATACATGGTAATGTTGTATGTGTTCCCTCTGAAGTCCAGGAGACAATTCAGGCTCTACCCAGATTGAGAAATGAATCTCAGGTGATGAGAGTAAAACTGAAGAGACGTTTGAGTTACAGAGGTCACCATCTGTTTCAGACTGTTACCTGGTCCAAGCTAGTGCAGGCTCTGCATAAACTGAAAGAGACACACCCCCAGTATGAAGACATCACTATTAGAGATGAGGAGGAGTTATGTGACCCCACACTTCCTGATGATGGTGATGAGGATGAGGATGAGGATGATGGTAATGATATCACAATGAATGATGACGACTATGATGATGAGGATTTGATGGAAATTGATAGAATTGAGGCTGCTGCCATGTATGAGGCTGAAACTAACATTGAAACTGAGGATGAGAACACAGAGCTGTGTGATAAAAGTCAGACCCAGGACAATGATGATCAGACACAACAAAAGGATTCAGACGTGCATAATGGTGGTGTTGTTTTGGAGTCGTGCCTTCAGCCACGTGATGTTTCTGAGGAGATATTGTGTTTCAGTGACTCTACATACTCAGTAGCTCCAGCAGAGAGAAACAATCCAGTCAGTTTTTTCAAAACACCCAAATTAGAGGCCATGGCGTTCCCTGTTCAGTTTCCCACTGGTGAGAATACACTGGATGAAAACAGACCAATGAAACTATCACCCAGTAGTTATTTTAAAGCAAGGCTCTTTGGTGTTGATGATCGCTTTGCCAGAGATACCAACTACCTGTTCTTTGCACAGTTTGTGACCGAAATACACTTGGCTACCTCCAGCATGTCAATTCAGTTACGCAAAGGCAAACCTTTGACCAGAGATGGACGTAAAATAACATCCAGAATGTTGAGAGACAAATATGAAGTGGAGAGACTGGTGAGAAACAGAGATGCTATCAGATTTATGCAGCCGCTCAGAGGAACACCAGCCTACTGGGACAAAACTACAAAAGATCTGTTTGCTATGATCAGACAGTTGGGCAGTCCTACGTTCTTTGTCACATTTTCTGCAGCAGAAATGCGTTGGCCTGAGGTGATTATTGCAATAAAATCACAACAAGGTGAGGAGGTGAATTTTGAAGAGCTCGACTGGTCCACAAAGTGTGACATTCTCAGAAGCAATCCTGTGACAACGATGCGCATGTTTGATAAGCGTGTTGAAGCACTGTACAGAGATCTGATCATGTCTCCTGCACAACCCCTGGGCAAAGTTTTTGACTTCTTTTGGCGTCTCGAGTTTCAGCACAGAGGAAGTCCTCATATACATGGTCTTTTGTGGGTAGAAGGTGCACCTGTGTTTGAGAGAGACTCTGATAAAACTGTGTGTGACTTTGTGTCCAAATTCATCTCTGCTCAGCTCCCTGACCCAAATAAACAGCCTGAACTGTACAAAAAGGTCAAAGAAGTGCAAATACACAGTAAGAACCACTCAAAGACATGTTTCAAAAGTGCAAATTCTGGATGCAGATTTGGATTCCCAAAACCACCCTCCAGACAGACAATGATAACCAGACCTGTGGGTGATGATGAGGAGTCAGAGAGACTTAAGAGAGCCAAAGAGAAACTTGCACCACTGAATCAGCTGCTGAATGAGACACAAACTGAATCCATGAGTTTTCAACAGCTCCTGTCTGTCTGTGACTTAACCGCTGATGAGTATGAGAAACACATGAATGTGATGAGTCAGTCCAGCAACATCATTCTGAAGCGTGAGCCGAAAGACTGCTGGGTAAACACCTACAACCCTCACCTGCTCAAAGCTTGGGATGCAAACATTGACGTGCAGTTCATTCTCAGCTACTACAGTCTGATCCATTACATATGTACGTACATGTGTAAAAGTGAGAACTCTGTGAGCCAGTACCTGCAAACACTCATTCAGAACTCCGACAGAGAATGTGTCAATGAATGTGATGAAATGAAAGCGGTCATGCAGGCGTATTCCAAAAAGCGAGAAGTATCAGCACAAGAAGCTGTTGCCCGAGTGACTTCACTGAACATGAAAAAGAGTTCACGCAGTGTGGTTTTTGTCCCAACTGATGACAACCCAGTGAAAATGAGTCTGCCTGTGTCAAGCCTTGACAACACAACACCAGACAGCTTGAATGTGTGGATGACATCCTTAACAGACAAGTACAAATCCAGACCTGAATCACCAGAGTTTGAAGAGATGTGCATGGCTGATTTTGCTTCTACCTGCAGACTGGTGTATGGACAACAGACCAAGGGCAAGAAAGTGGTACCTTTGCTGAATGAACTAGGCTTTATACAGAGACGAGAAAGTGACAACGCTGCTGTCATCAGGTATCGCCGCATATCGAAAGAGAAATACCCTGAGCAGTTTTACGGCACATTGCTTAGACTGTATCTTCCATACAGATCAGACGATGAGCTGAAAAGACCATATTTTCCCACGTATGAGTCATTCTATGAGAGAGGTGTGGTTCAGCTGCCGTATTCTGACCGACCCCTGAGTGTGAAACTCATTGTGAAAAGAAACAGAGAGAGATATGAAAAAAACAGTGAGGAAATTGACTCTGCTCTCGAGGACTTTGAACAGAACAGAGGTGTGGTCGATGAATGGTGTAATTTGGCACCTGAATCTGAACTTGTGAGGTTGGAGTGTATCGATGAACTGGATGCCAGACAGTGTGAAAATGTCCAAGAGGATGTACCGGATTACAGCAGACAATCAAATGCTGCTACAGAGGCCAGAGTCATGAGAGAGCCCCCTACAATCGATCCCACACGGTTACGACAAATGTATCAGAGTCTGAACCAGAAACAGGCGTGTGTGTTCTATGCAGTGAGAGACTGGTGCATAAAACGAGTCTGTGGACGACAACCAGAGCAGTTTTTCTACTACATCAATGGTGGTGCTGGCACTGGAAAGTCACATCTCATTAAATGCATTCATTCAGAAGCATCAAAGATTCTGAGAACACTACCTACACGTGCTGAGGAAGCTGACATCTCAAACCCGACTGTGCTGTTGACTGCTTTCACTGGAACTGCAGCCTTTAACATCTCTGGAACAACACTGCACTCTCTTCTCAAGCTGCCCAGAAGTTTGAAACCTCCTTTTCAAGGTCTTGGGAACCAACTTGATGAAATCAGGTGTGAGCTTTTAAACGCTGAAATCATCATCATTGATGAAATCTCCATGGTGTCGAAGCCTCTGTTTGCCTATGTGGATGTGAGACTGAAACAGATTAAAGGCAGCCACAAACCCTTTGGAGGAATGTCAGTCATTGCTGTGGGAGACTTTTACCAGCTACCGCCTGTGCGACAGTCCAAACCACTGTGTGTCTATGATCCAAGTGAGCTTGACCTCTGGAGAGACAACTTCCAGGTGATCACTTTGGATGAGATCATGCGACAGAAGGATGACAAAACTTTTGCCGAGATGCTGAACAGACTCCGTGTGAAAACAAGGTCAGATGAGCTTTCTGAAGCTGACAGAACTCTGCTGTCACAGCGTGTCACTGAACCACAACTGTGTCCCTCTGATGTGCTGCACATTTTTGCTACCAACAAACAAGTCGCAGAACACAACTCTGCTACACTATCTCTGCTCCATTCTGATATCACCACCATTGATGCAGATGACTTTAAAAAGGACCCACACACTGGACACATGAAAAGACAAGGTGCACCATGTCATGGAAGCAGAAATGATCTACCTGACACCCTAGATGTTGCAGTAGGTGCTAGAGTCATGCTTACCAGAAACATAGATGTGTCTCAAGGATTGGTGAACGGATCATTTGCTACAGTAGGCCGTCTCATAAGCTCTGAAAACAACGGTTCTGCTTTTGTCACGATGCTTGGTCTCAGGATGGATGATGAAACTGCTGGCAGGAGCTATCGTACTAGAGGAGACAATCTTGTGTACATCGAGAGATCTGAGGAGGCTCTGCAACAGAAAGGAGTGGTACGCAGACAGTTTCCTGTGAAACTTGCCTTTGCATGCACGATACACAAGGTTCAAGGTATGACCAGAAAATCAGCTGTTGTCTCTCTGAAGCACATTTTTGAGCCCGGCATGGCCTATGTAGCTATCAGTCGAGTGACCTCTCTCAGCGGACTGCACATGCTTGATTTGGATGACAGTAAAATCTATGCTAACCCTGCAGTCACTGTATCTTTGGAGACCATGACACAAGCTAACTTTGATCACCTCATGCCTTTTCTCCAGATCCAGCATTCTCTCTGCAGACAGGACACTGTGAGCATCATTCATCACAACACCGAAGGATTACCTGCTCATGTGAATGACATCAAAAGCCATCATGAACTGTGTCTTGCAGATGTTTTGTGTCTGACAGAAACTCACCTACAGGGCTCCTTTGTGGCAGACAGTCTCCAGTTTGAGGGCTACACCATGTTCAAACGCAACAGACACCTGTCCTACACTAACTTTCCACAGATGGCCAGTAAAGGAGGTGGTGGAGTCGCTGTTTATGTGAAAAACCATTTGCAGGTTGTGGAGAAACAGTACCTGAATAATGTGACTGACCTTGAGTTTGTGGCTTTGAAGGTTGAATCTCCTGTAAGTGCTCTGATTGCAGCTGTGTACAGACCTCCAGACTACAGTGTGCCATCATTCCTGTCCAATCTGGGAAGCCTTCTGGACTCACTTGAGATCATGGACTGTCATCCCATCATCGTCTGTGGCGACTTCAATGAGAATCTCTTTTCTAATGCAAGTAAGCCAATTTTGGATTTCTTTCAGTCCAAGGGATATGGTCAACTGATCACTGCTGCTACAACGGACAAGAACACACTGCTGGACCTGATCTTCATCTCACGACCTCAGCTATGTCTCTCCTCAGGTATCATGCAGACGTACTACAGTTACCACAACGCAACTTACTGTGTTATTTCATCCAACAGGTCATAGAGGAAACTGCTCTGAAGGTAAAGACAAACTACAGATGGCAAACTTGACTTGACTGGACATAGGGAGGGTGGGTGCGGATTGATAAATGCACAGGCCAAAACTCTCAGCTGCTGTGTACAATACTGTATACAGCAGCTAAAATTAAAAACCTCCATCAGAAAGTGTGTGTTCCCTAATGAACACACACTGTCTGATGTTCTGTTACCTACCAGCTGAAACCCCCCTTTTCTCCACCCAACTTTACACCACTCTCTTAGCATGGGTGGCTGTAAGTACACTAGAGCAAACCTAAGTTTCCTTTTCTTTGGGTAGTTTTTTATTTATTTAATTATTTTTTTCAGTTGTCTCTGCCATCTTTAACCTGATTCCCATTAGTACTATCCTGACTAGCTCACTGTAAACTGAAAAAATTATCAAACTGTCAACCAAAAGTAAACACATCACCTGTAGGTACAGTAGAGTAAAGCTAAGTTTCCTTTTGTTTGGGTATTTTTTTTTTCTTCTTCAGTTGTCTCTGCCATCTTTGACCTGACCATTAGTGCTGTCCTGACTATCTCACTGTGAGCAGAAAAAAAATATCAAACCATCAACCAGAAGTAAACACATCACTTTGGACAACTCAAAGACACAGTCTACCTGCTGTTTAACCCAGTCTTTGGTCGGAGGTGAAGAAGAGATGACATCCTCCACACCATCCCCCTGCTGCTCTCAACAACCATCATCGCTGTGCTGGACAGAGACTGCAGCACCCACCAGGACCCTTCTCTCATGGACTACACAAACATGTGTTTTACCTGCTTGTGCTCCAGATGTCCTGAAGCAGCTCTCAAGGACTACCAGACACCAGGCTGGAGCAGAACTGATGCTGTAGCACCTGTCACTCACTGGGCTCGTTCCTGCTGAACCTCCAAGAGATAAACCCCTCTTCAAGAAAGTCTGAGGTAATGTCTTGGTGAACTTGTGTTCATTTATTTATTCTTAGTAATCTTAGCTGCTGTATTAATGCTTGTGACGCTATTGTACAGCTCTGCTGATATCATCGTCTTTAACAGCAGTGTTTTCTCCCAGGTCTTCTTCAAGCCAGTTAAGAGAGGAAGAACAGCTTAGACACTCAGACAGCTGAACACACCAAAGGTGGACATCATGCAGCCACCCTGAGCCTTGAGCCTCTCTGTGTAACGAAGCTTTGCTGCTGCAGACCTGGTGAAGTTGCTCTGGACAGAAATATTTTTTGCTCTGCTGCAGTGCTGAAGGTATTCATTGTAATGATGTGTGTATTTATTCAATATGTTTAGTTTCACAGATTATCAACACAAATGTTTCTGTTTATTTCCTGTTTTGAACCAGCTACATTCTCCTACTTCAAGTCACTGTCTGTTCATCCACGGTGTAGCCAGTGCAGCTCAGCAGAGTCCTACTAATGGTGATCCTTCAAGTCCTGCAGTCCTGTGAAGCAAGCTGCAGCAGATGTCATCACATTCAGATCATCAGTTTATCTTTACTGCAGCTTTAAAGTTTCCCTGAGGTAACGGTGTATTTCCTTGCCCCATAACAATAACCATGTTTGACCAACATAGAAAAGCACAGTACTACTGTTAGCACAGGATTACAGAGTTAAAGTGAAGGGGATTTTGTTTGTTTTTTTCAGACCTCTCCTCCTCCTGCCTCTGACTCCAATGATGCTGTCAACTCGAACACTGAATAACTGCACACAGCGATTCTACAACCACAGGTCAAAGGTCAAATCATTACCTCACTCTAAACCTTCACTCTGAACTGTACCGGGCTCTGCTTTTGGTTTTGAAAAAAGTGCCCAGACAGAACACAGTACTCACTTGAGGAACTGACTGATTGTCTTCAGGACAGGACAACTATTACTCTTGTATTGTTTTGAATCCTGTTTTCTACATTAAGTGATCGGTTGTCAATATCTGTTAATATTTTCAGTTTCCTTTATGTTTCTTGGACTTTATTTTTTCTATTTTATTTTAGTGTTTTCTTCCCCTTTTACTGTGAATCTGTCCTTATATCAAAAGATGACCAACACTGATGAAGGGAAAAAATACCAGTTACTTCAGTTGTTGCAGGCAGCTGAATTTCTCGTTTTAATATGCTCACAATATCCTTCAAATTTACCTACAAGAGAAGACGTGTTTTAGAAATAAATGATGTTCTTTGGGTTTCAGCTGGTAGGTACACTGAAATTTTTCACGTGTGCTTAGTCTTGGGCTAATATTTTGGACAGCAGTGATCCCAGCATTACAGTGTCAAACAAGTTCTGCTGAAGGTTTGTCTTCAAAATGCTCAAAACACAGGACTTGGTTAAACGAGCTGTGTGGAGGGATTTCATAGAGGAACAAAGTTTTTATGCTTATCCTTAAAATGTAATTCTCCATAGTAGAAAACTTTTTAAAAAGAAACTATCAACATGAAGACAACCCAGCATTTCAGTAAGACAAGTAGTGTGAATGTTTGGATAAGAAAACACTGGGATCTAAAATGCTGACCAGATTGTCAGTCCACTACAATGAGCTGGTGACAGTATTAGCCTTGGTCTAACTACTGTGAAAAGCCTTTTGGGTGGTAAGGTGGACCAATACATGCTATAAAAAATACCTTAGTGCCATATTTAAGTTATTAACCTTTCATCTTACTTTGCCTGTATATTTCCGCAAGCCTGGATGACTTTGCACCTTTTGCATTTGCATTCTTTACCTTACCCTCCACATTATTTTAAATTTTAAATTTAGATTTAATTTAAATTTTTTATTTGAGTTATTGAGTTATTTTTGCAAACAAAAATGCTGACCAGATTGTCAGTCCACTACAATGAGCTGATGACAGTATTAGCCTTGGTCTACTGTGAAAAGCGTTTTGGTGGTAAGGTGGACCAATACATTTCATCAATTTATTTCAAGTTCTCAAATCTACTTTTTAATCTGATCATTTTAGATTTTGTTTAAAGTTTCAGTTTCATATCATTTAATTTTATTTATTATTATAATTATTTATTATTCTATAATTTTCTTTTTTTTCTACATGAGAGGGCCCACATTTCACTGCAGTTAGCTTTAAAAAATACTACAATGCCATATTTAATTCATAAGCCTTTCACCTTACTTTGCCTGTATATTTCCACAAGCCTGGATAACTTTTAATTATTTGCATTTGCATTCTTTACCTCACCCTTCACATTATTTTACATTTATTCTATACTTGTTGTTTTTCACATTTATGTTGTTATACTGCTGACCGATTTTAGTAACTATTTTTTTTATAACTCTCAAGTCACCATTTTCATATTTTTTTTTATGTGTAGGTATAATAAAGGTTTTTCAGCTGTGCAAGCTTAGTCTTAGGCTAACCTAAACCCTTAAAAACACGCATAACAGTCCTGTATCAGACTTTGAAGTCAAATTTCAAGGTCTGTCTTTAAAGCCCACAACACAGGACTTGGCTCAATGGGCCATGACAAATTTTATGAGCCAACTTTTGAGGCTTAGTAATCCGAAAACACAAGAAAAGAGGTGAATGTGGGTCCAGGGCTGCTGGAGTTTGAATCCAGTAAATAAAGGGGTGTTAGCCTCAGTCTAACCACCATGTGAAGAGCCTTTAATGATTGGGCTGAACAATATTACAAACCACTAAAATCTTGATACCTTTCTTTCACTTACCCCACCCAACTTCACACGACTCTCTTAGTGTGCATGGGTAGTACACTAGAGCAAATCTAAGTTTCCATTTGTTTGGCTATGTTTTTGTTAATCTTTTTTTTTTTCAGTCGTATCTTCCATCTTTGACCAAACCTCCATTAGCACTGACTAGCTTCTAAGCTGAAGAAATGATCAAACTGAAATAGAAAAAGAAATAACCACATCACTTTGGACAACTCAAGACACAGTCTACCTGCTGTTGGTCAGAGGTGAATCAGAGATGACATCCTCCACACTGTCTCTCTGCTGCTCTCAACAACCATCCTACACTGTGCTGGAGCTGAACAGAGACTGCAGCACTCACCAGGACCCTGGTGAGTCCTCTTATCTCATGGACTTGACAAACATGTGTTTTACCTGCTATTGCTCCAGATGTACTGAAGCAGCTCTCAATGACCACCAGACACCAGGCTGGAGCAGAACTGATGCTGTAGCACCTGTCACTCAGTGGGCTCTTCTCTGCTGGACCTCCCAGAAATATGCCCTTCCTCAACAAAGCCTGAGGTAATGTCTTAGTGAACTTGTGTTCATTTATTTATTCTTGGTAATCTTAGCTGCTGTATTATTGCTTGCGACTTCATTGTACAGCTCTGCTGATAACATCGTCGTTAACATTAGTGATTTCTGTCAGATCTTCTTCAAGCCGGCTATGGAGGAAGAACAGCTCAGACACTCGGGCAGCTGAAATCGCTTAAAGTGGACATCATGCAGCCATCCAAAAGGCTCTCTGTGTGAGGAAACCTTGCTGCATGCAGACCACGTGAAGTGGCTCTGGACAGAAATATTTGTTCAATTGTATTGGTATTCATTGTAATGGTGTGTATATTTCTTGAACATGTTTGGTTTTGTATATTATCAACACAAATGTTTCGGTTTATTTCCTATTTTGAACCAGCTACATTCTCCTACTTCAAATCACTGTCTGTTTATCCACAGTGTAGCCAGTGCAGATGGTGATCCTACAAGTCCTGCAGTCCTGTGAAGCAAGCTGCAGCAAATGTCAACACATTCAGATCATCAGTTTAACCTCGCTACAGCTTTAAACTTTCCCTGAGGTAACGGTGTATTTCCTTGCCCCATAACAATAATCATGTTTGACCAACATAGAAAAGCACAGTACTACTGTTAGCACTGGATTTTTGTATTGATTACACTGTTAAAGTAAAGGGGATTTTTCTTTGTTTTGTTTTTTCAGGCCTCTCCTCCTGCTGCCTCTGACTCCAGTCATGCTGTCAACTCGAACACTGATAACTGCACACAGTGATTCTACAACTACAGGTCAAAGGTCAAAACCGTCCCAACTTTAAACCTTCACTCTGAACTGTACCGGGCTCTGCTTTTGGTTTTGAACAAAAGTGCCCAAACAGAACACAGTACTCACATGAGGAACTGACTGATTGTCTTTAGGACAGGACAACTATTACTGTTGTATTGTTTTGAATCCTGTTGTCCACATTGTGTGATCCACTGTATCTGTTGTTATTTCAAGTTTCCTTTGTGTTTCTTTAACTTGATTTTTTTTTTTTTGTGTTTTCTTTCCCTTTTACCATGTATCTGTCCTCATATCAAAAGATGACTGACAATGATGAAGGGAAAAAAAACTGTTCCTTCAGTTGTTGCAGGCAGCTAAACTTTCCTCATGTTATAATATGCTTACCGTATTTCCCCAATTTACCTACAAGAGACGACATGTTTTTAGAAACAAAATATGTACTTTGGGTTTCAGCTGGTAGGTACACTGAAGGTTTTTCACATGTGCTTAGTCTTGGGCTAATATTTTGGACAGCAGTGATCTAAGCATTACAGTGTCAAACAAGTTCTGCTGAAGGTTTGTCTTCAAAATGCTCAAAACACAGGACTTGGTTAAAACGAGCTGTGTGAACTAAGTTATTAACAGTCCTGTATCATACTTTGAAATCAAATTTCAAGGTCTGTCTTTAAAGCCCACAACACAGGACTTGGCTTAAGGAGCCATGACAAATTTTATGACACTTAGAAAAGAAAAGAGGTGAATGTGGGTCCAGGGCTGCTGGAGTTTGAATCCAGTGAGTAATGGGGTGTTAGCCTCAGTCTAACCACCATGTGAAGAGCCTTTAATGATTGGGCGGAAGAATATTAGAAACCACTGAAATTGTGATACCTTTGTTCATCAAGAATCACAGCAACTACAATATTGAAACCTCAAGCTTAAAACACACACTGGTCACCCATGCAAAGATTTTTGTCGTTTGGTCTTGTTTTTTTTTTATTAATATTATCATCAGGGTTAGCTATCTAAAGGCACCTGTATTCCTAGGGAGAAATTAAGTAAGAAAACCAGAACTTAACAAAAGAGCAAAAACAAAGACTCAAGCAAAGAGTTTACAAAAGGAAAGAGTAAACTTTAAAGACTTAAAATAAAGAAACTCAAATTATGGCAAAACAGCCAACACAGCAGCCTGGTATCAGGGGCAGCGGTGAGGACGGGCTGGGCACTGCAAAACAAACAAATAAATCAATAAATCTGTCATGGAAACATGCCACTTAAATTAGTATTTTAAATGTAACACTACCTACCGAAAGAAAGGGCTCAGCAAGCCAGCAACCCAGGGCTCCGCAGGTGATGGCTGAGAGAGAAAGAATATATTATATTAACATATGTTATATATTATTCTTATGTATATATATATATATCCTCAAAACAACTTCCATTTAGTGCCCCTCAGTGGCCAAAAAAGCCACTACTTTGTTTGCTGTAAAATCATACTGAATTAATATTTTTTTCAGATTTTTTTTAATACATCTCTTATTTTCCTTCTCCCCTGTTAAAAACTAGCAAATGTTTCATTGAAGGAAAACGACCTATTTTTATTATAAAACATAATCTGAAGCTGGTGATTTTTTACATGGTACTGACTACCACCTGCTGTTAGTGAGAGAGAATGCACTTATGGAATCACTTCATCAATGCAGTTTTTTTAGGTCATTTTCCTTCCATTTTTTTTGCTATATTGGTGACTTTATGTCTTAAATTGGCCCTTAAAGGGTTAAAAAATGAATATAATACAGGCAGACAACAAAATGCCTTACCAGTGCGCGTGGGGGAAGCCTATCACATGCAGGGCCACACCCTGATGGGAAAGTCGCCTCCTTTTACAAAGAATGTTGGGAGCGGGACACAGTTTTTCCAGGGCAGCAAAATTCACTGCCCTGTGGAACTTCAGGTAAGAGCAGAGACTCTACTGCATCCGGCCTCACCACAGGTAGCACTGGGTCAGTGCCAAGAGCATCAGGGCCTGGTGTCGTTAGAGGGAGAGGTTGTAGAGGTCAGTATTAGCTTCTATGGTACAACCATTGATCTGGGAAATTAAAAACATCACAAATCACAAGAAAAAAATATATATTTTTAATTAAATAAATTACCTAATACAAAATTTCCTCCTGTATGGCTGTCTGCTGTGAGAAAAGTAGAGTCAGGGAAAGAGGCTGTGCCTCTCAGGAAGCTCTCAGCTTGTCCTGCGGGAGACTGCAGCTCGAAAATTGCTGGTACCCCTCTGTTTAAGACAGAAAATGTTATATAAGTCACTGAAATAACCTAAAAATGACAAAAGTAATAAAACAATAAATATGTCTGTGTATGAATATATGCTGAATAACATCTATGTAATGCATAAATCCTGATGAAATAATACATGAATTAATGCAGATGTGTCATTGATGCTTTTTTCTCACTCAACACAAATGAGCCTGTCACTTTGAATTCATGTGATTATTCCACACTCAATAGATCATGAAATGATGCCAATTCACAGTCAGTTCATGCATGCATTGATGTGACTAAATCAGCTTGGTTTCTCATACATTACTTGTAGCAACATGCATCTGCTTGAGATACACACACACACTTCGGTATTGTAAAGAGAATTGTTTTCAAATGAATGTTAACCAAAGATAAATCCGTTTGCTACAGAAATGTATTTATTTGAGAACATTTTCGTTTCTGCATACTCTGTTACATTATAATTACAAAACAGTTTATTTTGTTTGATAACAGGCGGTATGTTCAGCCTGACAATGCTGCCTGGAGGGTTCCCACTCTTTTCCAGAAATCATTTTCCAGGACATTTTCAGTGGTGTTCAAGCTGGTATGACAGTCTAAATTTAGTTCTTAAATAGTCTAATATGTTCCTCTCAGTAAGCATCTTCATTGAAAGACGTGCAGTCTGTGGCTACCTATGAAATCACCTCTTACATACTTAAAAATTATGCCAAACAGATTATAGAATAATGCATCCACAGATGAACAGCACCTCACTTAATGCAAGCAAGTAACAATGAACATCTCAGCCTTTCCTTTACTAAAAAAAAAAAATAGAAAATTAACTAAGTAAAAAACAAAAGAGCCAGCAAAGGAATCTGGAAGCTGTCTTTCTGAAATAAATAACAGTAATAATAATAACCATCAGAGGATAAATTGAATCAAAGTACATAAATTTACCTTAATAGAACTAAATGAGAATAATGGCCTTACATTTTTTCTGAACTAAACACAAAATATACCTCATTCATCAGGAACATTCATCCAGCCAAGTGGTCTGTTATTGTGCTATTTGATTTACACTGATGGGTCCTATTCATTGTGCATGCATATTATTAACGCATCATGTTTTATATGTTACAGATCTATAAACACTGTTGTGAATTGGCGTTTGTCTAAGGTATGATAAGGTTGTATTTCACTCTCACTTTCGCTGGGCTCAGAGCGGAACACAGACTTTGAAGTGCGACCCCAGCTCAGTTAGCAAGAAAAACAGACAAACGCGATTGAGCGCAAGCTAAAATGACAATAACAATAACATTACCGTCAACTCAGAGGTTTAAAAAAGAACAGTCTTCTTGCGTGGCGATGTCTACATCTTGATCACAGATGTCTACATAGTGCAGTTTCTGTGCAGCTGTGTCGCTCTTTTTGTCCCCCTTTCCCCCGTTTGTTTTCACTATCGGGAGATTGCACTGCTACTAGCTACAGTACGGTAATTGAGCTCGGAGCCTGCAGGGAAAGTTTTGTAGCACAGACCCCCAAGCTCTCTGCCCGACCAATGTTGACAGATTGGACGCTTTTGTAGTCCCGTTAGAATAATTTTCCAGGACAAAACATGATTTTCCATGACATTTCACTTTTTCTCCCATTTTCCATGGGTTTTGCAGTACTGGTGAGCTGTTTCTCAAGACGCGTGGGAGCCCAGAATTAGCTTGTTAGCGATGTTAGAAAAACTACCTAATTATATCATAACTCACATAATTAAGAGCAAAATAACTGTTGTAAACCTTCACATATGAAAATATGTAAAAAAGAAAAAAATATTTTGCATAATTAGACGCACCTTTGAGTCATGCACAAGCGGTCCTCTTCTCTCCGCAAATAACGATCTGCGCGGGCTGCATGCGCAAAGGTGTTCTTCTTCTTCATTGGGTTATTTTGGTGGTTGACAAACAACAAATTGGCGCATTAGCGCCACCAATTGATGTGGACTGAGTATTGCGGCGCTCACTCAATTTTATCAAAAGCAGATTAGATAGATAGATAGATAGATAGATAGATAGATAGATAGATAGATAGATAGATACTTTACTTTCCGACAGTGATACAACACATTTAGCAAGCACATACAGTGTTTCCTCTAGGGCTGGAATCTATGTGTGAATTTGAGTTGCGGTGCGGGGGTGGTGGTGGTGGTGGTGGTGGGGGGGGGGGTGTCGTTGCGCGAATTCGTGGGGGTTATGAATCAGCAGTGAGTTCGCTGAAGATGACTTAGTTATTAACCCATTAAGACCTAAACCCTGTCTGAGACACGCCTCTGAAAGGACAACTTTGAGAAGGGCCCCCAGATCCTGAGGTTTTCTGAAGTTTTGAGGTTTATAAAAAAGCTGACATCTCAGCCTCTGTAACAGATATATACAAAATTCATAAGCTCTCAAAAAAATGTATAAGCTCTCTCTGTCTATCTTTTATCTCTCTGAACCGGCATCACATTTCTGAAAACCTTGAGCACACAAACTCAACTGAAATAAACCGGCTGTATCAATAAAAGTAAAGGCTCCGCACTGGAGAATAAGAAACTATTTGCTTTCTGTAAAACAAGTGGCAGTCATGATAAAGTGTCCATTCAATACAAATGTAAATATAAAAAATAAAGTGTTGAAAGGGTATACAGCTGCCCCAGAATAGTGCCAGTAAAAAAGCAGCATTAAAAGCTAAAAACTAAAAACTAAATAAATCAATAATTGTCTGACAGTGTGTTCATGTCTGTGCTCACCCAAAGTCATGCAAGAGTCACAGAAAACCTCAAAGTCATGCAACAGTCACAGAAAACGGATGGATTAATGGGGGGGGGGGGGGGGGGGTAATGAATCAGCAGTGACAACGCCGACAATAACTCACAAATCCTAATACTAGGCGCGTGCACGTATGTATATACACATGAGTCCAAGACAGAGAGAAAGCACCTAATTTTAAAGGTGTGGCAGCTTTTATTTAGCCGTGGCGGTGCGCCACGTTCTATTGCATGTAGGGGCCTCCGGGCTCTCTTCCCCGGGCTCCAGGCTCTCCATGCCTGGGCCTCCGGAGCTCCTCCCCGGGCTCCAGGCTCTCCATGCCCGGCCTCCGGGCTCTCTTCCCGGAGCTCCGGGCTCTCCCCGGGCTCCAGGCTCTCCATGCCCGGCCTTCGGGCTCTCTTCCCGGGGCTCCAGGCTCTCCATGCCTGGGCCTCCGGAGCTCCTCCCCGGGCTCCAGGCTCTCCATGCCCGGCCTCCGGGCTCTCTTCCCGGAGCTCCGGGCTCTCCCCGGGCTCCAGGCTCTCCATGCCGGCCTCCGGGCTCTCTTCCCGGGACTCCTGGCTCTCCATGCCCGACCTCCGGAGCTCCTCCACGGCCTCCAGGCTCTCCATGCCCGGCCTCCACATCTCTTCCCCGGGCTCCAGGCTGTCCATGCCCGGGCCTCCACACCTCTTCCCCGGGCTCCAAGCACTCCATGCCATGCCTCCAGGCTCTCCACGCCCGGGCTCCACATCTCCTCCCCGGGCTCCAGGCTCTCCATGCCTGGCCTCCACACCTCTTCCCCGGGCTCCAGGCTCTCCATGCCTGGCCTCCACACCTCTTCCCCGGGCTCCAGGCTCTCCACGCCCGGGCCCCCACATCTCCTCCCCGGGCTCCAGGCTCTCCATGCCCTGACACATTTCAATCATGGACTGAGAGTGTTTGAACAGCTATTTCATCCACCGAACATCAGAATTGAATGAAGCTTTACATGCCACTAGGTATGGACGTCTAAGAGTGGGCTATGTGTGTAAGGAAAAGTTTGTGTGCTCCTGCGTAGGCACAGGTGCAAATCTGCCACCATGTTTATAGCCGGGTATGCCGTGAGCGGAGTTTTTACAGTCGATAATCCAACGTCCAAGCTCTGCAGTGTGGGAAAAAGAGAGGGGGACATTTGGACAATTTCAACTTTGCATGAGGATGCACAGGTCCTTCGGGTCATTAGGTGAGAATATATCACATCTTAAGTGTGCAGTTAGTTTTTACATGCGCGCAATCAGAGTAATCACGGTCATATT